TGTCTTGGTCCGGTTGTTGGCAGAGGAAACGCTGCTTGTCAGGAGTCTATTAGGAGCTGTTGCTGTGGAGATCTTTCTTGCCAGGGAGGTCATGGAGAATGCAAGTTGCTCTTAATGAAGAAGAAGAAAACGAGGTTCTCTTCTTTCCTTGTGGAGAGCGGCAGGGATTCCTTTGAGTGGGACAAAAGAGAGGGGCAGAAGTGGGAGGCGGAGAGCAAGGGGGTCAATGAGAGGGGCCGGCAGCATGGAGACAACCCACTCTTCCCACTCCGGGTTTCCTAATGAAGCCAGGCTCAAGGCTCCATCCGTGTGCAGCTTGGAAATAATGTCAAGCTGTGGATGGTTGAATCCCTTGTGGATACAGAGGCCTGGATGTATTTTCCCCCATCCCCATGTGTATATCTCAGATGGGTTTGTATTACGAACACATATCATCCACAGCAGACAGGTTGACTACTATTCATGGCAGGCTCTCCAAATGGGGAAGGATTCCAGTTCAGCACCAAGGACAGCAGCTCACCACACGGAAGATGATGATGGTGATGACAAGGGTGGCTTTTCCAATGACAAAAGCAACATGCAATCCAAAATGAGAACATGAACAGGAAGCTCAAAGGCCTCTTGATAATTCCTCCATCCATCGGGGTTTGCTGGCTTGGGCAAGTCACACTTTCTCAGCCTCGGAGGAAGAGAAGCCACCTTCATCCTTGGTCACAACTGTTATAATTATCTAATTATTATAATTGTCTTTCTTTTCAGACGTTTCCCTGACGATCGCGGACAAAGACACCAAGGAAGTCTTGGCAAAATACAACATCCCTGTGAAGTATCTGCGGCCCTTTCACCATTACCATTGCGCATTGGGACTGGTAAGTCTTATTATTGATGGGTTGTTACAAGTTTTCCGGGCTGTAGGACTATGTTCCAGAAGCATTCTCTCCTGACATTTCACCCACATCTATGGCAGGCATTATTATTGATGTTGAACTCCAGGCCTGAAACACCTATGACCACCGCACCACACAAGAGGCCAGGAATATAAGCATACAGTTTATTATAAAACACATTAAAAGGATATAAAAAGGCAGGAATAAGAAAGGAAGATGTATAATCCAAAAAGGTTGAGCAACAGGTGATAACCAAACAAAAATCCAAACGTTCCAGAGGCAACAAGGTCCAGGAATAGCCAGAAATTACAGGTACAGCATAAGTCCCCAAGCAAAAAAAGGTATAACTAGTAAAATTTGATCAGAAGTACATGAACAGGAACGTAGGAAACTTCTAAACATCCAAAAACAAGGCTTGATTGAACCAAGAACAAGAGGAATCAGGCTCAGCTTCTCACTCTAACGCAGCGTTGCCTGAACTGCCTTTAAGGTAAATAACTTGTTTGTTTGTTTGTTTATTTATTTTGGGCATTTCTATCCTGTACTTCTCACCTCCGAAGAGGGACTCAGGATGGCTTACAGCAGGCAGTTGTTTTTTGGTCGTGTCAGGAGCGACCTGAGAAACTGCAAGTCGCTTCTGGTGTGAGAGAATTGGCCATCTGCAAGGACGATGTCTAGGGGATGCCCGGATGATTTGATGTTTTATCATCCTTGTGGGAGGCTCCTCTCATGTCCCTGCATGGGGAGCTGGAGCTGATAGAGGGAGCTCATCCGCCTCTCCCCGGATTCGAACCTGCGACCTGTCGGTCTTCAGTCCTGCCGGCACAAGGGCTTAACCCACTGTGCCACCTGGGGCTCATTAGATGCAAAAAAATATAACTTAAATAACTTAAAACACACGATTAAACCCCATGAAAGCATTACGTCTCCCGTGAATTTCCCCCCCGACTTTCCCATGTAACCTCTCAGACTGGTGTAATCTATTTTCGACTCTGATTTGTAAACAAAGACTTTTGTTGATCACTGTAGCTGCAGGTGGTTTCTCTTGGGAACCCTCCTTATCACTCAGATCTTCACTTGATTCCTTATCTGCTGTTGCTACTTCTGACTCCTTGGACCGGCCTTGAAGCCCTACACTTTCCAAACCAGTTTTGTCACAGAGAGGAATATAATTTCCCAGACCTGAATTCCCCACACTTTTTGGTACAGGAAAACCCACAATCCTCTCTAAATGATCTACAACAACTGAATTGTCCCATTACCCATCTGCCTGTATTTGGACTACATATTGCTTTGCATTAGGAGCTTTCCAGGTCCCAATCTTCAAGAAGGGAAAAAAGGATGACTCAAACAATGACCAATGTCCGGTCAGCCTCAGGTCAATACCAGGCAAGATTCAGGAAAAGATGGTCAAGGAAGTGGTCTGCAAACACTTAGAAAGGAATGCGGTCATCGCTAAGAGTCAACATGGATTCATCAAAAACAAGTCATGCCAGACTCATCTGATCTCTTTTTTCGAGAGAGTTACACACTGGGTAGATGCGGGGAATGATGCCGTGGATGGAGCGTGTCCGGATTTCAGGAAGGCCTTCTTTGACAAGGTCCCCCATGACCTTCTGGCAAGGAAACTAGTCCAAGGTGGGCGAGGCAAAACTACGGTGAGGAGGATCTGGAATTGGTTAAGGCTTCCTCCTCTTCATCCTGGAAAGAAGTGACGAGTGGAGTGCCATCCGCAGGGTTCCGTCCTGGGCCCGGTCCTGCTCAGGATCTTCATTCATGACTTAGAGGAAGGGCCAGAAGGCAGGATCATCAAGTTTGCAGACGGGACCAAATGGGGAGGGAGAGCCAAGACTCCAGAGGACAGGAGCAGGATTCAAAGGGATCTTGACAGATTAGAGAGATGATGGGCCAAAACTAACACAATGAAGTTCAACAGGGACAAATGCAAGAGACTCCACTTAGGCAGGAAAAAACGAAATGCAAAGATACAGAATGGGGGACAATGCCTGGCTTGAGAGGAATACGTGTGAAAAAGATCTTGGAGTCCTCGTGGACAACAAGTTAAACATGAACCAGGAATGTGATGTGGCGGCAAAAAAAGCCAGTGGGATTTTGGCCTACATCAATAGGAACATAGTGTCTAAGGGGGCTGTCGAGGTCCTGAACCGCTGGCCGCTGTAATGGTCTGGATGAGGGCGAACAAACTGAAATTAAATCCAGACAAGACAGAGGTACTCCTGGTCAGTCACAAGGCCGAACAGGGTATAGGGTTACAGCCTGTGCTGGACGGGGTCGCACTCCCCTTGAAGGCGCAGGTTCGCAGCTTGGGTGTGACCCTGGATTCATCTTTGAGCCTGGATCCCCAGGTTTCAGGGGTGACCAGGGGAGCATTTGCACAGCTCGGCTCGTGCGCCAGCTGCGCCCGTACCTCGGGAAGTCTGACTTGGCCACGGTAGTACACACTCTGGTCACATCCCGCCTTGACTATTGCAACGCTCTCTACGTGGGGCTGCCCTTGAAGACGGCCCGGAAGCTTCAGCTAGTCCAGCGCGCGGCAGCCATGTTACTAACAGGAGCGGGACGCAGGGAGCACACAACGCCCTTGTTGTTCCAGCTCCACTGGCTGCCGATCTGCTACCGGGCCCAATTCAAGGTGCTGGTGTTGGCCTACAAAGCCCTAAACGGTTCCGGCCCAAAATACCTGTCTGACCGCATCTCGGCCTATGAGCCCACGAGGACTTTGAGATCGTCTGGGGAGGCCCTTCTCTCGATCCCGCCTGCCTCACAGGCACGCCTGGCGGGGACGAGAGACAGGGCCTTCTCGGTGGTGGCCCCCCGGCTGTGGAACACCCTCCCTGTGGACATCAGACTGGCGCCCTCCCTTATGACATTCCGCAAGGGACTAAAGACGTGGTTGTTTGAGAAGGCGTTTGAGTAAGTGCTGCAACAATTGGCAATGACGATTGGAACGGAACATGGATAACGAGATTTGGATTGTGATTCAACAATGAGACGTCGCGAATGATTTAGTGTAATTGTATTATTGATAGTGATGTTGTTTAATGTTGTTGTGATATTGCTTATGTTGTAAATTGTACCTGTTTTTACATGTTGTACACCGCCGTGAGTTCGCCCTAGGGCTGAGAACGGCGGTCTACAAGTGCAGTAAATAAATAAATAAATAAATAAATAAATAAGAGGACCCTAGTGTCTAGATCTAGGGAAGTAATGCTCTCCATGCTCTATTCTGCTTTGGTTAGACCACACCTGGAATATTGTGTCCAATTCTGGGCACCACAATTCAAGAGAGATATTGACAAGCTGGAATGTGTCCAGAGGAGGGTGACTAAAATGATCAAGGGTCTGGAGAACAAGCCCTATGAGGAGCGGCTTAAGGAGCTGGGCATGTTTAGCCTGAAGAAGAGAAGGCTGAGAGGGGATATGATGAGGGCCATGTATAAATATGTGAGAGGAAGCCACAGGGAGGAGGGAGCAAGCTTGTTTTCTGCTTCCTTGGCGCTGGAACAATGGCTTCAAACTACAAGAGAGGAGATTCCATCTGAACATGAGGAAGAACTTCCTGACTGTGAGAGCCGTTCAGCAGTGGAACTCTCTGCCCCAGAGGGAGTGTGGTGGAGGCTTCTTCTTTGGAAGCTTTGAAACAGAGGCTGGATGGCCATCTGTCAGGGGTGCTTTGAATGCAATATTCCTGCTTCTTGGCAGAATGGGGTTGGACTGGATGATGGCCCAGGAGGTCTCTTCCAACTCTGTGATTCTATGATTCTATTATTCTACCCATTGGAAATAATGAACAATGCTTCGTTTGGCGAAAGGGAACTTTCCATGCATGCATCTGCATTTGGCATCCCTCCAGAGAGAGAACTTTCTCCGAACGTTGAACCCCTTTCTCGTAATTCCAGGCTTAGGAACAAAACTGCCTTACGCAAGACGTGTTTAGTGGAAGTTCGCTGAGGTCAGGCCAAGGAAATGTTTATGTAATGGAGATAATCCTTGATGGGAAAAGGTTTGGGATTTTCAAAGGTTTCGCTTGGCAGAGAAATGCGCTCAAAGAAAGTCTGAGCTCTCAGGGCCTCTTTCTCAAGAGAGAGAGAGAGAGAGAATGGCCGCTCTTGTTTTCCTCTGATGATGAAAATGACACATTTTGGAAAGTGTGCCAAAGTGCAAGGTGCGCTCCTTTGGGAAGCGTCCTAAGATGGTCCACTGCCATCAACTCTGCTGGACCGGCCACATTGTCTGGATGCCCGACTACCGTCTCCCAAAGCAGTTGCTCTACTCCGAACTCAAGAACAGAAATCGGAATGTTGGTGGGCAGGAAAAGAGATTGAAACCGTAAGAACTCTGGCATGGACACTGAGAAGTGGGAAGGCCTGGCCCTTGAGGGCTCCAGCTGGAGGTCAGCTGTGGCCAGCAGTGCTGCAGAATTTGAAGAGGCACGAAGAGAGGGTGAAAGGGAGAAACGTGCCAAGAGGAAGGTGCGTCAAGCCAACCCCGACCGAGACCGCCTTCCGTCTGGAAACCGATGCCCTCACTGCGGGAGAAGATGCAGAGCAAGAAGAGGGCTCCACAGCCACCTATGAACCCATCTTGGAGGACCATCATCCTCAGACTACGAGGGATCGCCTAAGTAAATAAGTAAGTTTCCAACAGACCTCACAACCTCTGAGGATGCCTGCTATAGACATGGGTGAAACGTCAGGAGAAAATGCTTTTGGAGCATGGCCAGACAGCCCAGAAACCTCACAGCAACCCCGTGATTCTGGCCATGACGGCCTTCAACAACTCACAGAGAAGTCCATTTCTTTATTTTCGCCCCGACTCCAGCCAATGTTGAGAGACAGCTGCATAAACCAACTCAGACATGGCCTTGAAACGGGAGAGAGGGATACTCCCTGCATATTGCAAACATTAGTATAATGGCCATGATGGGAAATGCCACGCTGTGTGCAGACGTCAACAAGGCCGGTGGCTTCCTCCTCCTCTCGCATCCAAGGCACCCTCTGACCTTTCTTCCTCCTCTTTTGCACATTGAGCGCATTTCCATTTTCAAGGAGAGTGCTTGTATCGATGAGGCCATAACGATTAGCTGCCTCCTGGTTGCTCAGAAGCCCATTTGCAGGTGCCGGTGGCCCCCACTGAGCCTCCCTGCTTGCTTGATTCGACCGAGTTGTCCATGACCACTAATGGACATCCCAATGTCTTAGGCAGACGGCCAGGAGATTGACAGGTTGCGTCGGTCTCCCAAACAAAACGATTGCCATGGTCAAATATTTGAAAGGATGGCATGTTCAAGGAGCTCCATTGGCTGCCGTTCATCTTCCGGACCCAATTCAAGGTGCAGGTTCTTACCTACAAAACCCTAAACGGTTTGGGACCCGCCTACCTGTGTGACCGCATCTCTGTATATGAACCCACACGATCTCTTTGATCAAATGGATCATCTCTTTGATCATCTGGCCCCCCAACTCTGGAACTCACTTCCTAAGGAGCTCCATTGGCTGCCGCTCATCTACTGGTCCCAAATCAAGGTGCAGGTGTTTACCTACAAAGCCCTGAATGGTTTTGGATCCGCCTACCTATGTGACCGCATCACTGTGTACGAACCCACATGATCTCTTCGATCATCTGGAGAGGCCCTACTCGCGCTCCCACCTCCATCGCAAGCGCGATTAGTGGGAACGAGGGACAGGGCCTTCTCGGTGGTGGCCCCCCAACTCTGGAACTCACTTCCTAAGGAGCTCCATTGGCTGCTGTTCATCTACTGGTCCCAATTCAAGGTGCAGGTGCTTACCTACAAAGTTCTAAACTGTTTGGGACCCGCCTACCTGCGTGACCGCATTTCTGTGTACGAACCCACACGATCTCTTTGATCATCTGGAGAGGCCCTGCTCTCTGCCACCATCGCAAGCGCGATTGGTGGGGACAAGGGAGAGGGCCTTCTCGGTGGTGGCCCCTCGACTCTGGAACTCACTCCCCAAGGACATCAGGCATGCCCCAACTCTGGCAGTCTTTAGGAGGAGCCTGAAAACATGGTTGTTTCAGTGTGCCTTCCCAGAATAAGGAAACTCCCAGCAATATGTCCCTAAATGCACTTTATTAATGATCTAGGATTGTCTGCACATTTCTTCCCTCTCCAAAATTTCTACCCCAGTTCCGTGTCACCTTGTCATGCCCAGCATTATTTTTTAAAAATTTAATTATTACATTTGGCCCAGCCATAGGTTTTTAAACGCGTCGTGTTATTGTTAATGTTTATTGCTTATTTTTGCTTATGAGTTTATTTATTGTTTTGTATAATTGTTGTTATTGTTTATTGTTGTATTGTGGGCTCGGCCTCATGTAAGCCGCACCGAGTCCCTTGGGGAGATGGTAGTGGGGTACAAATAAAGTATTATTATTATTATTATTATTATTATTATTGTTGTTGTTGTTGTTATTATTATTATTATTATTATTATGTTGAGACGAGGCAAGCTTGTTTTCTCTCCTCTGGAGGCTAGGACACCATGGAACAATGGGATCAAACCAAAACAAGAGCGAATATACCTAAATATTTGGAAGATCTTCCCAATGTTAAGAGCTCTTCGACAGTAGAACACGTTGCCTTTGAGTCCAGTGGAGTTTCCTTCTCTGGTGATTTTTAAACAGAAGCGGCATGGCCATCTGTCGGGAGTGCCTTGATTGTGTCTTCCAGCATGGCAGAATGGGGTTGGACTAGATGACCTGTGCCAGAGGCTGAGGGGATTGTTCAGTCAGAGGTTGTGAGGACTGATGGGCTTTCCAGTGTGGGAAATGAGGGGATTTTAGATCACAGTTCTGTCTGGGAGAATGGGTCTGTGTCTGGTGAGAGAGTAACAGCTTCAGAGCAAAACGGAGAGGGAGATGCTGTGGCCTCAGAAGATAGGGAGAACCTGGTCCAGATCTATCATTGTTTGAGTCCACAGTGCTCTCTGGATGTAGGTGAACTACAACTCCAAAACTCAAGGCCAGTGCTCACCAAACCCTTCCAGTATTTTCTGTTGGCCGTGGGAGTTCTGTGTGCCAAGTTTGGTTCAATTCCATCGTTGGTGGAGTTCAGAATGCTCTTTGATTGTAGGTGAACTATAAATCCCAGCAACTACAACTCTCAAATGACAAAATAAATCCTCCCCAACCCCACCAGTATTTAAATGCGGGCATATTAGGTATCTGTTGTTGCTAATCAAGGTGATCAGCTGAAACATTCCCACCTCGCTCCAGCAGACAAGAGTCCTTTGTCCCACCCTGGTCATTCCACAGATATATAAACCCTTTTTCCTAGTTCCAACAGACCTCACTACCTCTGAGGATGCTTGCCATAGATGCCTCTAGACCATGGCCATATAGCCCAAAAAAACCTACAACCCACTGGACTCTTGAAGGTGAATTCGGGCCAGGGTGTGACATTTGGGTTCTACACTGCCGCATAAAATCCAGATTCTCTGCTTTGAACTGGATTAAGTGGCAGTGTGGACTCATCTAATCCAGTTCAAAGCAGATAATGTGGATTGCCTGCTTTGATAATCTGGATTTTATGTCAGTGTAGAAGGGGCCTTAGGAACAAGCTCCCTCCCTCTCCAATATGACGTGCATTTGGCCTTAGCAAGGGGGGCACCCAGATCTCTTTGCACCCCTCCAAAACCCAAATCTTATTTATTTTGCTTCATTCCTGGGGATGATCGCATCCCTGGTCTTCCTGGGCTTGCAAACTATCGAAATGCCAAACACGGAAGATGGACGATATTGATCTATCCGGACAGTGCTCCTTGGAGAACAATGAGCTTTAATTATCAATTCCAGCTTGATTGTTAGTTATGGCTGCTCGGAGGTCCCACTGCCGAGCTGTTTACAGACATAAAGCATCTTGGTTTATGGCCTTTCGCTTAGTGTGTGTGTGTGTGTGTTTTGTTGTTCTCCAACAGCCTCGGAAGAAGGACCCACTTGGGACAACGCTGTTTGCATCCATCGTCCGTAAAGGGAGTCTCATCCCAAGATACGGAGGAGTGAATTACACCGGTTTGGAGGTAAGGATCCAGCCCTTCTCCTCCCCCCCAAAAAAAGATCTGCTCGTGAGTCTTAACATGTTTTTGTGTCCCAAATGGATTCCGGCCACAACATTGTCCCTGTCCGAGCCCCCAAACCGATACGTTTGGCTGGCAAGAGCCGTGGTCTCACCCTGTCCATGTGAAAGGCTAAATACTGCATGAGATTTCTCTTTCCTCTGCCGTTTTCTCCCCGCGGCATGACAGATGTGCCCACGGAGCCACATTTTAATATCCATTTCCATTAATCATTTAGAAGAGGGGGGTAGATTAAAGCCCCCATCCATCTTTTCTCCATGTCAACTCAACCACTTTCTAAGAATATTAAGGACTCTGCCCATTTCTCTCCATCTTATATTTAGGACAATA